GTATGACCTCATGTTAATTAACTTCATCTGCAACAATTCTAAATCCACATACGGTCATTTTGTGAGGTATTTAGAATTAGGATTTCAACATATGAATGGGGACATAATTCAAATCATAGCACTTCCCAAATAATAAATGTTTTTAGAGAAATGCCAATTTTAAAAATCATTCAGCTCAGTCTCCTACCCAGAAAGCAGATACCTCATGCAGAGTCCACTAGACTCCTTGACTGGAACCTAGAAAAAGCATAAAAATCACAACTATAACTCTACATCCAATATTTCCCACAATGTGGAAACCAAAACAACAGCAAGAGCCTCTCCCCTCTCACTTTCAGTTCTTCTCACATTATTCTTCTAGAATTTGCAGCAATAAGAAGTATTGCTTGATTAATGCCTTTAAGCTAAATCCCTGGCAGATGCACGTTATCGCTTAGGGCTCTTCTAACTAACAATTTGGCAGACATAGAGTTACTTTAAATATGATTACAAAGGCATCATGTTTTTCAGGTTAAGCATACAGAGTCTAGAGCAGAACATGTGTATGTCAGCCAGACTCCATGCTTCCTACACGCTTGACCTTGAAGAACTTTTTATGCTTCAGGGGTGTGTGAAAGTAGGACACACACGAATACTAGATCAGGAAGGATTAATAATTTATACAGTACATTTAAAATGTTTAGAGTAGCACCTGACACATGATAGATGTACAGTAAAACTAAAGCTATTATTTTACAAATGATAGTACTGAAGCTAGGGATATCGAATGCCTTCTCAAAGATAATGCAAATGGCCAATGGTGTAACGCAGTATCAATCTTAGAACTCCTGAGGACTTTCTTAGTCACCATATAAAACTTCATTTTTCTAAATGAAGCACCACCTCATTTTCAATGTGCATAAATATCACACTTTGAAATAATGGGGACATTTGGATACTTTTATAGCCATAGTATCAGTCAGCACCATTGTACCCTCAAGATGCCACACGTACAGGACTGCTTGCTAGGGCCAAGTTTAGGGATGAAAGAGCTTTCAGAATTCCTTCAGCTGGCCATTATAATATTCTTAAATAGCTTATACATCTGGACCAAACAGGTTAAGGATTACTTCTGGGAACCTGAAACAAAGCCACATTCCTGCTATTCCCCTCCTGCATCTCTCATTGCAGCCTTTCCTACAACCACTGCTACTACAACTACCACTATCACTACCACTCCTCAGACGTACTGTGCTTTCTCACATCTCTGGGCAATATACAATTCTCTCTGCCAATTTTCAAATTATCACTCAATTTATCTTCAAGAATTATTTTTATTTTATATTTCCAAATGTTCTATGAAACCTCCCTTATTTTCTGGGATGACAGAGATGAACCCTCTCCTGTTTCCTTTAAGATATAATCATCATTTATCAAAGCACTAGTGACTGCATTAGTTAGATTCACTGGATTCCTGGCCTCTCTTTCCCACTGCACTAAGTTGGCACTGGAAGTAACTAACACAGAGACTGTTACAGAAATATTTACCAACTAGAAGACTGACTGGAAGACTCAATGATTTAATACATGAATTAAAGAAGTAAGAAGAGTTCAGAGACTTGGCATCCAACCATTGAACACATTATCATTTATCTTAACTTTGGCCAGGGAAGAGGAAGGTGGAGTTAGTGATGGGAACAGGTGTTGACTTTGTGTGTAAACTTAACCAGTTAATGAAATTCCATAAATTGTTCCTGGATCCATAAATTTAAAAAAATTTCACCACCAGCTATCTAGCCTGATTTGCATGTGTTCAAATCTTCAAAGTAAACCTTTGATTCCTTTAATCAATAGTTATTTTAGAAAGCTCTCCATTACTTCCTAATTGTCCAAATTCATTTTCTTCATTTTTCCTTAGTAGAGGCAGATTTTTCACATGAGTTAAGTAGATCAGCAATTTTAGAATCATTATTAACTTCAAGCATTTTTCTCAGTTATTAGCATATCCCTTTTCTCTCTAGAACTAGTCTTTTTTCCATTTTTAAATGACCATTTGGTTTACATTCAAGTTAGTCCATGCATCCCCAAAATATAGCCAATTTTATTCTACAGTAGCAATCTATGTTTACAATAATCTTATCATAGATATTTATCACATTCCAGATTTTATATGATATACAGGGATTCTCTTTCATGTTAATATGTCAAAAACTAAGCAATTAACTAAGATAGAACTAGATTTTAATCCATCAACAAAGCAAATAAATCACTAGTATTATACACAAAAATGTCTGACAAATAATTTAAATAAATTTTTTATATTTGAATATATTAAAATTAAACATGTACATATTTATGGAGTCCAACAATGCCACTGCTGGAAATCTGTCCCATGTTGCATAAAATTAAAAACACTAGGATTGATTATTGAGTCAGAAAATAGAAATAAATATTTTATCTGTAAATAGGGAATATCTGTGATATACTGATATCATGGGCTACTGTTCTTTTTATATATATATATGACCACATACATTCACAGAAAAATACAAAGGGTATATAGCAAGTTGTTATTGGGAGCAGAAAAAAATTTGGAGGGAAAGAAAAGAGAAAAGAAGAAAATCTATGAAAAAAAACAGTATTTAGGACACAGTTTCATCCATCTAAAGCTTTACATATGTATGAATACGAACAAATATTCATAAAATAATAACAACCATGGATTTCTGAAGGCAATACAGTACAATACATAGTTTCCTTTTACATCTTTTTTTCCTAATTTGAAAAATTATTAACCTTTTTGTCATTTTAAATTTTATATTACCTTATATAATTGTAAATAACATGAAAATTATTTTATTGTGATGTATTACATGCCACATATATGCAATTATATATTATGTGTATATATGTAATATACATATGCATATAATATATGATGTATGCATAATATATGGAGGGACAGACAGAATAAATGAATGAATCAGACCTAGGATTATTTTCTAGTACGTGAGAATTCAAATCTAGCCATTCTACAGGTGCTAATTTAGAGATTCTATCACAAGACTATTATCGACCTGCTGGACATGCATGTTCCATCATATATATTCTGTTTTAAAAGAGCCTTTGCTGATTTTGAATTTGAATTTTCTTTGAAGACTCAGCTAATATCATATCTTCTTAATTGGTTTTTTCCACTTTTTTCAAATGTTTGACCTCTGAGAAAGGCTTCAAAATTTCTTACCTTTACATAACTTTTGGCATTTCATTTTGATACATGAAATGCAGCATCTCATAGGAAATGTCTGAACTCCTACCACTTCAGATTGTAAGAACCTCAGGTTTTATCAAGTCTGCTTCAAACTGAACGCAAATATTACAATAGCAGAAGACAGTGTCAAAATCTAAAGGCAAACACAAACTTGTGGAAGACACACTGATTCTACCTGAGTAAAATGATCTAGTGTTTTCATCAACTTAACCCTGAATAAATAAAATGTCTAACTACTTGAATTTCAGAAAGCATATTATTAATTTTTGTGTATAAAAGTTTAAGAAGTTGGAATAATCAAAATATCCAAGTACTGATACAGGAAATAAAGATGAAATTAATCTAGGTATGATTTCTATATCATTATCATGACCATATGTGTCCTTAATTATCTTTCTCCTTTGGGACTTTGATGTTTTGAAAGATTTTCTCTCTCAAAACAAATGCATTTATAAGATAATAATTATTTTTTTAAAATTCTTAATGAATCAATGACATGTATAATTGCTCATCACAATTACTGGTCAAGGCAAAGAAATTAGTGTTATACATGTGGTTGAATTAATTTATTCAGAGAAAATAAATTGCTATCCTTGATCAATGCATGATTTCTGTTACTTCTTTAAAATCAGGAGAATGGTTCAATGTTTAGCCTGGATCTCAAAGCATCCACTGACCCCTGTTTCAAAACCAGTGTTCCATCATCAAAGGGTAAACTGGAAGTAAACATCAGCTTTATTTTAACTCAAAATGTTGTTTAAAAATAGTAAATAGCTCTTGAAAAGTATGTCAAGATTCATCTATAAGAAAAACTGCTCAGCGATGACCCATGGGAAACATAAGCCTTCACCTTACACCAAGGGCAGACGGGGACACAAGCAATGAGCTCTCAGCGACTTTCTAATTTCACTTTTAAAAAGGCCAAGCAATGGAGACCACAGGGCAAGCAGAGCAGCACAGGTGATAAAATATTTTAGCTTTTTGTGTCTACTTCTTCATCTTCCTTAATTTAGATACTGTTTTGTTTTTCCTGCTCGTAAGAGATAAATGAAAATGCATCCACAGTCTCTGGAGATGCAATCGGATGATTTAGTCAAAAACAAATCCTTTGAAATCACCATGTGTCATGGTAGATGCAGTAAAGGATAAATCATTGCCCTTCTGAAAACTTTCCACAGAAGAGAGAGCTTAGATGTACATATGCAAAATTGACAATATCTTGCAACCATGAAACATGAGATATCAAGTGTGAAAATGTTGAGAAGTAATCAAGTTTGAAAGGGTTTTTGTTTGTTTCATGATAATTTTAAGATATAAAGAGCATGAAAGTAGTAAATACTCCTTCATGATGAGCGCATGTTCATTCTACTTTGCTCACTCATAAAACACAGAGACCTCATAGAAGAATTCTTTACCAACATTTCAAATCATGGCTCCATGAGTGAGTTAGCATCTGAGGTTAGAATGTGGTTTTATTAGTAAGATGCTATTTCATTTACAAAGTGACTACTTTGAACTTACTGTTACCCTTTACACGCATAGTGAATAATTAAAACTGACTGCAAAGCACATTTTGTGAGGCTGATTGCACTCTAGATTGTAGGTTTCTTCCTAGCGACTCATTTTCAATGGTCACCAATTCCCAGAGGGATAACTCTGCCATTAGTTTAAATCAACAAGATTGGCTGGTCCGAAGAAAGCAAGGGAGACAGCCCCAAATCACAATAAAACGGTCTTGCTCACGACTCACCATACTGACGGCAGGATCCATGGAATCCCTGTGCATATTGGCACAGGTGGACTTCACCATCTGAGCACTTCCTTCCATCAGAATGACTCCCCACAGAAAAGATAGCTTTCAGAGGGTGAAAGAAAGAAAACCACCCAGTTAGTAATATAACATAAGCCAGAAATTTCTACCAGGCAAGAATATTGTCATTACAAGGTAAAGCCTTACTCTTCACAGCCTTACATAATTCTCTCTATAATGGCATTGGTCTGTGGAAATGCAGATTCCCAGGCCCACTTCAGAATCCAAGTTTCTATTTCAACAAAATACCAGATAATGTCTATTCACATCTAAATTTGAAAAGTACTACTCTAAAAAGCTTCATGAATACACATGCTTTGAACAGGGGTTGTACCTAGACTATACGAAGAACTCAAAAAAATCAAAACAATACAAAAGACCCAACCAAAATGAACATTTCTCAGGAGAAGTACTAGTGGTCAATAAATACATGAAAAAATGTTCAATATCACTGGCAATTAGAGAAATCCAAATCAAAACCATACTGAGATTCCATCTTAATCCAGAAATGATGCTTACCATCAAGAATCTAGCAAGGCTGTGTGAGAAAAGGGACCTTTCTATACTATTGGGAATATACAGTAGTACAACTATGGAAATAAGTATGGCAATTTCTCAAAAATTAAAACTAGAAACTCCATGTGACTCAGCTGGTTCCCTTCTATATGTCTTCCCAAAAGAATTAAAGACATTATATTACGACTACACAGTCATATGTTTACAGCAGCACAATTCATAAGAACTAAATCTTGCAAGCAGCCTATACATCCATCAATAGAAGAATGAATTAAGAAAATGTGGTATTTATACATAATGTGTATTACTTTGCCATAAAGACGGATAAACTTGAATCATTTGTAGGAAAATGGATGCACCTTGAGACCATACTGTTAAATGTAATAAACTGACACACAAGTATTAAATATTGCATTATTTCTCTTACATGAAAACCTAAAACATAATTTAACTAAACAACAAAGTAAAAACATAGGTAGTAAAAAAACAAGGAAGTAGATCTTTTGTAAATGGGAAGCAGACATTAAAATAAATTAAGATGTGTTATGCACATGTATCAATTCAATCCAAAGAATCTAATCACTACGTACTGCAAACATGTCCAAGTAAAAACTTTAAAAAAAAAAAATCGCATAGGTAAGATGACCAAGTGCCAATCTAAAAATAAAACAAAAATACAAATACTGACCTAGAAGCGAAGGATTATGATAGGTGTCATACAACAAAAACAAACAATTCATCTCAAAGTTCTTAATTTTAGGGGTTTATAACACGGTTGAGCTGGTATTATGGTCAGACCTTTTCAGTGATCCTAAACCAGCGAGCAGCAGTGGCCTGGCACTTCTCAGAAATGTACCACCCAACACTAAGCCTCCTTAATATGGGAAGCCTGCAGAAACCTCACTGAGACACGTCAAGAGCAGAGAGCATGTTGGGGAAGGAAGCAGGCTGCTAGCAAATTTCCTAAGGTACAGAGCAGCAGGATAGATGAATCGTGCTGTGGTGCCACACGGATTGCAACACACTGAAGCATTTTAAGTGACTTCGCAATAATCGTGAATACATAATAGGTAAAGGAGCTGCTAAACAGAACCATTTCTCCTGGCATGAGTGAACTAGATAATACCGCCAGTCCTGCTGCCTGCGTGCTGTCAAACACACTCCAAAGGCTCCAAAATACCCTCATAGGAGGTTTGATAAAGGACTGCACACCTCATCTTAAAAAGTAAACTGCCTCCACAGTTCTGCAATTAATCATGACAAGCACAAGTTGAGAAATTCCATTTAGATTTAGCACAGTGATTTCCCCTTGGACTTTTGAATCAACCGTGGATTACAAATTTGATGATATACGAAAGGGGCAGACAGAAAAGAGAGGCGGAAGTCAAGGTATGGCCTGTCTGGATTTAAATCATCTGTCTTTTAAATGAAGAGACAGAATATAAAGTAGTGTTTCCATGGGTCCTGAGTCATGACCTATCATTGGAAACGCTTACCAGAAAGGCTTCTGTGCATTTTTGCGCATGTCATCTGTGAATATTCAGCCCAAAGTGATGCTTTGAATGTGTGGTGCTGCTAAAGATTGTGCAAACTTGACAGGCATGATATGATTGAAGCCAAAAACAAAGCAAAACCATTCCTTCTCGTGACAGAGTTAGACAGAAGAATTATAACTTACAGAGTAGGCATCCCGGTTCATCATCCCATTGGCTCCATCCAGAGAAGCATCTGTGAACTGTCTGCCGCTCGCTCAGGGCTGTGCGTCTGTCTATACACGGCGCAGCACCCAGTCCTAATGAACACAGGAGTTCAAATCATTTCAAATCAGCACATTTCTTTCATTTCAAACCCAGCCTTACATTGATTGATCGACAGATAGGAGGATGTGTGAGTTTGTGTATGTGTGGATGTAATCTGTATATATTATATATACCTATTGCATATGCAACCAAGATTTGTTACATGTGGAGATTGATGAGAATTAAGAATGATCCATATTTTAAGATATAGGATGCACTAAGGATCACTCAACTTACCAAGAAAGAAATCCAAAATCATACAAAGAATAGTGAAATCCTGAGGGGTGGGAATGCATATGCTTTTCAACTTGGCATTGAATGTTTCTCATATGCTGGTTGTGCTACAACATAAAATCTTAAACATAGTGCTGTACCCACATGGGGGCAACAGTCTTGGCTGGGGAAATGAATCAACTAATTCAGTGGTGGGTGACTCTGGAAGAGCACAGTATATACACAAAGCACATGTGCAGTGTTAGAATTTCACAGGGGATGGCAGAATTATGGGGAAAAGTTTTAAAAGACTCCTTAGGTAAGAAACCATAAACAAAGTTAAAAACAACTATTTTACTGTGCTACCAACATCTGAATAGGTCGATGTCTTCCCTGTCACATCAATGGCATATACATCCTTTATCCCCAAAATACTAACATGTGCTTCTGTCCCTCACAAACCTCACTTAATATTGCAACACAAATCCCCCATTACTGATGGTCATTTTCAATTTCAACTTCCTTCAATTTCTCTTTCCCACCATGTCAGTGTATGTTCTTCTTCTCTCGGACATAGCAGCTATTGACTGGACCATTCCTGTGACATTTAATTATTCATTATCTTAAAATGTAACCTACTATATAGTTTGTATCTCTCCAATCTACAAGGATAAGTTTGTATACTTTTATACAAATAACAAGAATGTTCTACAAAAATGCAAAGATCCTTCAATGTCACCATTATTCCAAACTAAATGTCATACACAGAATGTGTAAAACTTGAGGATATAAATATAAAACCTGTTTCATTGGCTCTCACATTTGTTTTTTTCCAAATTCTGAGCATCTATATGGAAGGAAACTTTTACCTTTGATTCAGACTACTACTGACAATAATTAAACCTCATAGGACTAGAACAGAAAATATAAATTTTAAAAAACCTTTAAGTATAGTTCCCATTCTGATTATTTTAAAATAAATTTTTCTGCCACAATATCATACTATCAAATATGTATTAAGTTCCTGCCATGTAACAAGCATTGTGCACATGTTAAATATGTTTTCAGTTAATCATCAGTTAATATTTATCTATGCATGACATTATTTTTCTAACTTTATAGACTAAGTTACAGAGAAATGTAGGAACTTTGCCTAAGGTCACAGAGCTGGTAAAAGCCGGAGAAATTTTTCTGATTTAAACATCATTTGAGTACCCTGAGTTTGTACACACATCCATCCACACACACACACACACACACACACACACACACACACAAAGACTACTCATCTGAAGGCTACACACACACACAACATATATGCAAATACCCACAATTATAAATTAATTATTACAGAAACTTACTTAGTACTGAATATTCTGATATTTATATACAATGGCAAACCCAGTTATTCATAATATTCCCAACTTTCCATAAGCAATAGTGTTAATAATAAATTCTTCATTAACCTCAAACCACATTAAAGTTGTTTCCTGAATTCAGATCATTGATTTATTTACATAAAACTCAATCTTTCAGTGACTATTTGTATCAAGAAGTTCTTAGATGTTTTGAAAAACTATTTTCAAACTTTGAAAAATAAATCTGCAGGAAGCCTACTTACTAAAAAGTATTGTGGACCCCTGCTTTCTCTGCTTTTCCAGCGCGGCGCGTTAGTCCGTATTCAAAGGCCATAAAAAGTCACAGAAGCTCTAGGTTTCCAAGTGTTACAAGAGCACTAAGGGCAGGTCAGACTTCACAACTGCAGATCCCAGGATTCAAATTGTTCAAAACGTGGCAAGCCAGCACAATCTTCTTGTTTCTGGTTTTTTGATCTTCAGTTTTCAATAGTGCATCGTGTCATAAAATAAACTAGTGGTATCTAACCTAAAATACTCCTCACATAAATGTGGCCCAAAGGGAAACAATCATAAACTCTATCTCTGAAGAAAAATATGCATTTCTGAAAATTACTAATGGATGTTCCTTATGATCCTTTCCTTAGTTAGGTAATTAATGCCTAAATTTTCCTGGAAGAAATATTTGGAGTAGGTGAGGCTTCTGCTTTTGGTTTTGAATAATCACAAGGAAATAACAAACACCCTTACCTTCTTTCATAACCAGCACAGCAGCCTCGGTGTGTACAGCCTCATTTCCAAAACTTGACCATGTGTGTGAATACCGGACACATGGCTGGGTGGGTCCCACCACACTCAGCTGCTGTTCTTTGGAAACATTTAGCCTAAAAAAAATAAGAAAGAAAGAAAGAACAATAATGCAATGAAAATATGTTTTGTGTGTGACCATGAAGCATTTATTTCTCCATTTTCGAAAAACAAATTGTAATGTCTAACAAAGATACATTAAGTGAAAAAAGAAAAATACAATTTAAAAAATCTAAGCCCCTTAAGTATATGCAATTATAGCATCTAAGTTAAAGATTTCTTATAATCCAAGACCAGAACAGATTTTAAAAAGCAGAAAAAAATGTAAAAGCTGGATATACAAGTCATAATTTTCCACACAGGTAGAAAAATTGAGCTGCATATTAATTTTGAGATTTATGATGGTCAAATTTTTTTAAAATGTCAGGTTTCTCAATCTTTATACAAAAAAAAGCATATCTATTCACCAAAAGCAGTTAAACTTTTCCTGGAAATTATTTATGAACATTTTTCCACTTGCACACTTAGTTGACTTCTATGAGAAATACTTGGTAAAACACAAACATTTTAAAATCTGCAATATTATATTACATTATATAAAATTTATAAGATTTACAGAATTGTAGACACATTATCTTTAATTTTAAATGTTTCAGGCTAGAGCTGCAGGTGTATCTGAGTATCTAGAGCACTTGCCTAGTATGTATCAGGCCTTGAGTTCAACCCCCAGTACTGTAAAATAAAATAAGATAAAAATGTAGAGCTAGATTACATTGCTAGTCTAGAGTGCTAGAGTTAGTTTTTTAGTAGAAATATTTTTAGTAGAACTTTTTTTTAGTAGAAAGATTTATTGAGAGAAAGGAAGCTTCTATCTGAGAGAGAGACAGAAGGGTCCCGAGCGGGTTGCCCAAATTTTTATACTCTTATTTCATAATTTAAGGAGTACTTTACTCAAAGATCAGTGATTTACTAGTTGACATCATCATGCCTTTGCAAATAATACTAATTATAACATCAAGTTAAGCCTATTGCTCATCCTCCTCAGGCATTCCAAGTCACTTGCAAGTCATCCACTAACCTGAGAATGCAAAATATGATTCAAACTTAATGAGCTTGTAAGTCTGGCATTTGACTTTGAGCTTCCTGCTTTTAGAAGCTCACAAAGTAGTTTGGTATTCATATTCATGGTCTGCTTAAAGTGGGAAAGATCTTGGATTTGGGAGCACTAGTGAGTTCCTAACAGATCTGTGCATTCCTCCAGGACACCAGCATCACTACCACCATCGTCATCCTGATGAACGTCCAATAGCACTCCCTGTGCTACATGTATCAGCTACATCAGCCAGCAGCACTGCAGTATCTTTTTGTTGTCACTCCTTTCTGTGCCTCCGAATCTCATTATCTGATTTCACTCACAGGCCAATTCTCACTTCCAGATATATTTCTGAAACGTTCTCGTTTGGACTGTTAACCTCACCTTTAATTGAACATAGTTTATAATGAGGTTTTATGTATGAGTTTGTATGGCATACTTTCATATTTTAAACACTGTACTGAAACAAGTGTAAAAGCTCTGCTGAAGGAAGCTAGGTATCTACAAAATTATCAAAGATTGGGTATCCTGTCTAAAAAAATTCTTAGCTCCTAAATTATCTGTATTATATTTCTATAAACCACCAATTATGTTGCTTTACATGGTTTTTGTGAGCCAAAGAGCCCCAATTGGAATGTGCATATTGCACTTTTATTTCATGGCAGTAGTTTGAAAGGTTATACATCATTTTACCTTGAACTTCATTTTGCAATCTCTTTTTTTTTATGTGTCCATTCATTCATCTCTCATCCATCCATTCAAAAATCACTTCCTCTATACCTATAAGTGATTGTGTTAGAAATATTCCCCCAAACAAGGATTTGGCACAAGCTTTCCTAGGAAGTTCATAAAACACTGATGAAATGAGACAGGAGTGAGAGTGAACCAATAAGGGATGCTTAACCCTCAGTCCCCAGACCCCTTGTCACTTTCAGATCCATCCCCTTGTCTTCTTCTGTGTGCACTGCAAACATGTACTACTAGTAATAAAAAAAGAGGCTTGCCCCAGCCAGTCAGTATCATCTCTGCATAAGGGAGAGGACATCTTGGCATTTATACACAAACTCCTGTCAGTAATTTGCTGAGCATTTCTCCTTCCATAGCATTTCATCTCAAAGCACAGATAGGTTGTCAGCTTCCAGAAAGTAAAGTAAGTCCTCAAGCGAAAAAAACAAAAAGTGCAGTGTTGGCAGGTGCACAGTGATAAAAAGGAGGGGCTTGGGTATGGGTGCTGGAGATACAAATTACAGAAAAAAGAGTATCCACATTTTGTGTATGTCAGTAATATTGATAAAGGGAGAATGGGTAAAGAGCATATACATAAATACAAAGTGTGACATGTTAAGATGAAAGTAATTATGGGACGCCTAACAGATAAGGGCAGCAGCTGACACTCATGAATGAGGAGAGGCTTCTTTGGAGATGATGCTGTCAGGACAGAAGAGAAGCCAGTCCTGGAAGAGCCAGGAAATTCAGGCAGAAGGAACAGAATGAGCAGAGACTGCAAAGGAAAAATCACTTCACAGATCCAGGATCTGACAAAAGACCAAAGTGGCTCAAATGATGGGGTGCTTGGTGGGAGAGCCATCTTTCTGGGCCAGCAAGTTTTGATTTTATTCTCAGTGCTTAAGAATTCACACCAACATTTAGAGTTCCAATGGCTGGGCACATGTCATAAGCTGAAATCTGGAGATGGACATGTGATGCTTTTTGACCCTCACTGCAGCAAGAATTGGCACTCACAATACTAGCCCTGTTACCTTTCCTGACTCTGGTGAAGTCTTCATTCAGGGACTGGGACTTTCCAAAAAGAATCCACACACAAGTAATGCCAGAACTTTCCACCCTTCAAAGGCTTGCGTACAGTGTATACAAATCTTCATAACTACCTCTTCCATAAACTAGTTTGTATACAACACTTCCACATGTGTGAATAACAAATTTTTCCCTTATTAATTTTTTTTCAATTAATTCACAGGCACTTAGAATCTAAATTGGTAGAACAGCTTCTCTTCCTGTACATGAAAAAATTATATATTACTGATTTCTAATTAAATTATACATATACCAAAGATTATCATCTGTGATATGGATTTTTCAAAAGTAAATATGATATCTATCACTCACTACATTTAATTATCTGGCTAAAAGTTTTGTATACATGTGTATTTAACATGTACTCTTTGGAATAAGAACATGGATATATGTATAGACACATACGCAAACTTCTACATTTTGTTGACAGTTCTCTATAGTTACTAAATGTTTTTTCTCTGCTTTCTTTTTGGATCATAAAAGATATTGAACTATTATTCTATAATCCTGACAGTTTAGTTGTTTTGTATTTCGAGGTTATTTTGTTAAATACATACAAGCCCATGATTACTGTATATACTTAATGAATCATTCCTTTATTATATAGTATTTCTCTTAAACCATGATACTTGAACTGTATTGTGTATTATTTCATTTTACCTTAAAATCTATTTTTCTGATTTAACGTTTTTATATATGATTTCAATTAATTCATACTTTCTTAATCATATAGTTTATTACTTTAAAGTTGCTATACATTTTTCAAAAGTATCCATTTAAAAAAATCCAATATGCTAATTTCTATTTTTATAACAGGTAAATACAGTTACAAATATTTTCCTCACAAGTATAACTGTACTAATCTTATCATCTGATTCTGTAGCTTTTGTTTGCCAGAAGTTTGTACTTACTCTTCCTTTCTTTTGCTTTCTGGATGAAAAATGTTTTCTATCACTTTATTTTGCATAACGTATGTAGTCTAGTTCTGAATTATAATTATAATATTTGAATGATTTCTTTTGCATTTTATACCAAAATATATGCTTTTCTTTTAAAAGAAATAAATTTATTGTGATACAGTGAAGAATTCGTCTTTTCCTGTGTTCCTGGTAAGTGGATCATAAAACCCTTAGAGTTGCCTCAGTGATGGGATACATTTGCACTTGTAATGCAGTGACTTTACAGGCCTGTAGAAAGCTGTACAGCATGTAGAGGTGAGGGACTTCTGGAGAGGGACTGGTCATTGAACAAAGGTTAGAAGCTTTCCTCTGGTCCTAAAGGTTAGGAACTTTCATCTGTCCGCCTTCATCCACTGACCAGTGGCTCAACCTATCTTACCCAAGTAATGAACTCTCAATAAATAAAAAAAAATCTAGACACTGAAGCTCATTAAAGTTTTCTGCCCAGTAAATAAATGGTCCTGTGTGAGAGGATGATAACTCTCAGACTTCACAAGGAGAGAGCAGAAGCTCTGTTTTCCCACATAGAACTTGCCCTAGACATCTTATAATTTGACTGTTCTTCTATAAGTATATCTTTCCACTAAAACTGTATATCATAACTGTAACTCAGTCCCGAATGCTGTGATTCATGACAGCAAATTATCAGAATAATTGAGCCTGAGAGGTCAAATTTGTAGCTTTTCAGAAATATGAGCAGCCTAAGAAGCCCTCCCCCAAGACCTGTCATTTAAAATAAAGTCAGTCTTGTGAAGGACCTTGACCTTAACCAGTGAGATGTGGGTTAAAGAAAGGAAGTGTCAAAACTGGATTTCATTCCATGTGCTTGGTGTCAGATAGTTTGGTTAAAACAGAATATTTGTTAGATTTATTCCTTGCTATACAACACAGTTAATATAGATGTGTTTTGCTTTTGTTTCTTTCAGGATTTAATATCAAATTATCTGATATATTCATAATTTTGAGTTGTTTTACTTCTGCTAGAATTGATAGCCTCGTTAGTGATTTTAATAACTTTCTTGAAATTAGTTTCACCTATTTAGGACTTCAGTTTGCAAGCTTGTGTTGACTGAAAAGTACTCTCTTTCCCTCCTCACTTATGTAAGGCAAAAAGATTTTAAGGAGACACTTTCTTGTTTTAAAATTGCGGCTAAGGACTGAAGCTAAGATCAAAAGGCACTAAATATTCCCACATTTCAAGGAGTGACCC